GTGTTAAAAGTAAAGTATCAGCATATACTTATCCCACTGCTCGATAAAGGCCTCCTCTGTGCAGAGGGTATCAGGGCATAGTCCACCACGCGGCCCTACTGCGGATTGGCAGACTTCACACATCTTCGAAATATATTTTTATTTGTTATTATTTTGAAAATATGCAGGTCTCCTCAAAAATTTTTGTGTTATAATGTTTTCCTTCCCCGCGAAGCACATGATAGGTCAGCACTTAAAGTTAAAAACTTCATTGGTGCCGGCACCAATTGGCTCGAGTATATTGAATTAAAGGCGAGCGCCCGGACACTGAGCTATCACGGCTCTAAGAAAGAAGTGTAACTTCACTAACGTTATAGCCCTCCAATCAAGCGTCATTTTGCGCGAAATGGGCAGGCCGTTCGAAGAACCTGTTCCACAGGCAAGTATCAGTCATAGCGAACGTAGTACAGGGTCGTCGAGACGTGACTCATTGACTTCCATTACGGCATCGCCCCGTGGACTGTCGCGTACGAAACCGGTCGATGGTATATTAACTTGCTTACCTGCCGCGTGCTGGTCTGTTCGGAACTAACAACTGCAATTGATTATAAAGTATTTTTATCTACTAAAGGAGGGGCCCACCTCGGAACATGATGACAATATAATGGACACTCGGCTGTCTATCTATTTATAAGCCTCTGCTCGGTACAAATTACGAGTATGAGATAACTTTAAAACTGATTGAATACAACTTTGAAATGAGTTGAACTTTAAACTTTAGAAATGAAGCCGCGGAAGTGGTTAGGCGAGTGGTAAAAATTAAAATGTTTCATATTAAATGCACTACGCAGGCCAGCAGAATATATTAAACATAAATAGCCGACCATAAGACCAAATAATTCGACCATAGCGTGGGACGAAGTGGTCGGCAGATGTTTAAGGTTGTTTTAAGCATGTTTTTTGTACGTACATTGTCACCGGTCGGTTAATTTAAGATGATTTAAACGCCAAGCAATACTGTTCGGTCTCGCAAAAATGGGAAGTTCCGTCCAGGTAAGTACCATGGGGTTGCAGAAGACCGGCGTGAAGTGGGAGTGATACCTCTGCGTTTCGTCTGGTGAGTAAGGTAGCCGAGGCCTACTACATTGATAAGCAGCGGCGAAGCATCTGCAACACTACGGATATTGCTAATGTCAATAGGCGGTGGTTATTACCTCACATCAGGTGAAACGCCAGCTCGCTTGCCGCCTTCTCACATAAAAAATAGAGCTTCATAATTTCAACAAACAGTGGATGATAAGTTGAATGAAGGAACGCGTTTGCGGATTGATTATCTATTTATTTATTTGAGATTAAAAATCCATAATTCGTTATCTTAATTTATTTTTTTGTTTTTCTTAGTTTGATTATCGTTCCACACAAAATACATTAGTTGTGTACAAATGCGCACTAGCAATATGCACCTTAACGCTGGAACTGTATATGTTCGACAGCTGCGATGTTTCTGTCGGTTCACCTTTACAAATTTACACACGAATTTATATTAAACTTTATAAACGATAGGGAAGCAAAGTAAATTCAATTTCTATTATGGCTTAAGCTATATTACTGCTTATGGCTTAAGCTATTTATTGTTTTCATACTATATTATATGACATGTATTTTTTATGGAATTTTTTAAAGGTTTTCGAGCGGCTGCCTCGTACTGGTCATCGCAGTGTAGGACGACCCCTACTAGATGGAGTGGTGACCTGTGCAAATGTGCGAGAAGTCGATGGACGCAGGCAGCTCAGGATCGTACTTCGTGGCAGTCCATGGGGGAGGCCTATGTTCAGCAGTGGACTCAAACAAGCTGAAATGATGATGATGACTTTTTATGTGTCAAGGTAGGAAGCGAGGTGTCAGTGCACCGATTTTCAGGGACCGTCACCCATGGACAATGTTACCTCCGGGCCCGGTTACACCTCACTCACCAGACGAGGCGCACAAGTATACTTCCACTTGACCCCTCCTGTTAGGTCGTGATACTTCCCAAGAGGAGTCTGCCCATCCGTGCACAAAGACTGCTGCGTGATCCTACCAGTCAAAGATTGCCTAAAATAATTAGAAAAACCTACTTGAGATCCGACAGGAAAAGGAAAAGAGCCGATTTTACAAAACATAATTCATTTATTTATTTATCACCTACAAAGTATACACGTAAACCGAATATATATAAAGGGTTTAGAAAAAAACTTATGTGTAAGAGAAAAGTCAAAATCGGTATAACTTCAAAAAAATTATATTCATACTATTTACATATATAACTATAATGATACTGTTAGGTTCATTGATATTGTAACTAAATAAAAAAAAATAAAGTCATCGCGGCAATGAGCGTTATCTAAACGATATTGAATTCGTGGTAGCAACCGTCGTTATTAACTAACTGCGCTATAGGGCAATGGGTCTATTTGTGCACATCTAATCAGGATCTCCATTACGGAATTAACATGCGGCGACTAATCATCTTGGGCAGATTACTTACGTCAATTGCATATAGCAGCTGTTTACATATACGCAATATATCGGTACACGACCGTTTGTAATTACGTAGTAATGTATTCGGCACATTCGACATCGGACAGACGAGACGGCCGGAGGCTGAATGGGCAAGGAGGCGTAAAGACACCACATAAAGGCCCGTAATTACGGGAAGAAAGGTCGTGGCTGGGCGACGTCGCATTCTCTTGTAAACAGCGTGTTTGCAAGAAGAATGCGACGTTGTTATGTTGAACACTGCTTTGCCGGGGTTGATTTAGTCCGAGAGCCTGCGTACGGCGGTATACTACTGTTTGCTTACTTTAAAACTGGTATCGCGGTGGCTTAAATTTTTTTATGTGGCAAACGTGCTGGCTGTTCACCAGATAATTTATTAATACATATTTACACACTAGATAATTCATCAGATTGAATGATAATCGTCGTGCACTTTTGCAACGCCCGTTTGCTAGCGCGTTGTAACCTTAAAATAAAGTGGGCCCCGGCTACCTCACTCACCAGTCGAAACGCGGAAGTGTAACACTTCTAGTTTACGCCCGTCGTCGGTGAGGTCGCGGTACTTACCCAGACGGACCTGCACATTCGTGCACACAGGTTACTGATATCAAAGCTGTACAGGACGCCGAGTTCAATATCGATTTGAAATGTTCAATAGCACGTAACAGCTTCTACTGTTTTGCAAAGGGGCCGGCTAGTCCGGGAAAGTACCACATTCTCACAGAAGATCAGTGTTAGCAGAAGTATTATATCCTCGCGTTTCGTCTGGCGAGTGAGGTAACCGGCGTTCATTTTCTTAAACTTCTTCTCAACGCATCTGTTAGCCCTCCAATGTTGTAAATGTTCATAAGCGGCTGTCTTCACTTAACGGACGAACCGTCTATTCGTTTGACAAATTTTGACATGGAAAAGGAGAAACTGAGAAATTGAATGAGCCAATTTTGCGATTTTTCCATCAAACGAATGCAATTGAGACCTATTTAGAGAAGTCTCCACTACGGCTACGTCAAACTTAGCAGATGTCTATCGGGCTCTGCCGTAGACGACATTAAATGGATTTGGATTTTCTAGAAGTCGGCAGATGTCGGATCGTAGAAATACGGATTGATCCAAAACGGCAGCTAGCCCCATTCCGGAGTGGCCGATACTGGCCGATTGCAGCGTACATTATGTCAACCGTTTTGTAAAGGAAAACGGGCTGTCTAATTTAAAAGCTTACATGGCGCGAGCGTATACTTGGGCAGGCTATTTCAGTACACCGATTTCTCGTCTCGACTAAAAGGCGTTTGACGTTGGAAGCATCAGAAGCAGCTCTAAGTATACGATTTTATTAATATCGACGGAGAAGTATATCGCATTATGAACATAAATAAATAAATATTTTAGGATACATTTTAACACAACGTTTTCTAGTCCAAAACTAAGTAACACTTGTACTATGGGTACTAGATAACTTATAAACATACTTTTCTTCTCAATACTTATTATACATATATAAACATCTAGACATTAGAAAAACCCTAAGTTCATCACATAACATTTTTCCAGTAGTGAGGATCAAACCCACGCCCTCTGGCGCAGGAGGCAGGTACACTATCGACTACGCCATTCGGATCGTCAATACATATGGTAATCGGCTATTTAATCGGAGTGGTGTACTATAATTTCGTAAATAAATAAATCTATTATGGCATAAAACTGTGAAAATGAACGAAAGTTGGATATGAATGTGAATTAAAAAAACACGTAAAAGTTAAGAGCCGTGATAGCTCAGTGTCCGGGCGCTCGCCTTTAATTCAATATACTCGAGCAACCTGAGTTCAATCCCGGTGCCAGCACCAATGAAGTTTTTAACTTTAAGTGCTGACTTATCACCTGCTCCGCGGTGAAGGAAAACATCGTGAGGAAACCTGCATATTTTCAAATTAATAACAAAAAAAATCGAAGATATATGAAGTCCGCCAATCCGCAGTGGGGCCGCGTGGTGGACTATGCCCTGATATCCTCTGTATAGAGGAGGCCTTTGTCCAGCAGTGGGACATGTATAGGCTGTTACTTTACTTTACTTTAAAAGTTAAAAAATATTAAAGAGAGTATTAGCGCATAGTCCACCACGCGACCCCACTGTGGACTGGACTACACATATCTTCGAAACATTTTTTTTATGTTATTGTTTCGGAAACATGCAGGTTTCGCATCACCGCAGATCACGTGATAAGTCAGCACTTAAAATTAACAATTTCATTGGTACCGGCAGGCGGCACCGGGTATTGAACACGGGTTGTTCGAGTATATTGAATTAAAAGCGAGCGCCTGAGAAACACGTGTTCCTCACCAATGTGTCTGTTACAACGCAAATGTACAAATAGCATTCTAAGGAGCATTCGGAGCGCATCTCAGTGCGCGCGATGAGACGAAGCATTGCGGCCGCTCCTAACAGAAGCCAAAGGGAAGTGTGCAACTGGTGTGCAAATGTCGCATCAACGGATCTGCAGCAGGCGGAAGTAGGGGGAGGTTGCAAGGAACGGCGTAGGGGGCGGGGGGAGGGTGGACCTGGCATACACCAAACCACTCGAGTCGGCGCGGCAGACGGGCTCGGATGGATTTAGACCGGGTCTGGAGAGCCACTGATTATCGCACGGCTTTGGAACGGAATGGATTGTCGGGCGATCGCGGAGTATAGCACCAATTAGTTTCTTTGACTAAAGTGTACATCGTACGGTTACTCATAGGATACTATACCACATCGCTGTGCTCAAATGCCCGAGTCCATTTCAAGATTGAACGAAGCAGACGCTTTCTGCCTATGGCTAATTATTTATTAATTTACAAAATGGCTCGGGCTTGGCTCATATTCTAAATTGAAAAAAAAATGCCCCCTTACTGTAGGATAACATTATCCTGTGTTATAAGGACGTTTTTACATACATTTTTTGGACAAACACCCTAATCCGAAACAATTATCCATGAGTCACGCAAATAAATGTCCTGTGTGAGAATCAAACCTCTGACCCCCGCCAACACCGAGGCCACTGCGCCATGGAGACATTAATTGAGTAGGTTTTCTAGCAAAGAAGTAGATTTAAGGTAGTGATAGTATTAGTCACACATTGTAAGGAAAATTGTAAGGTACACAGACACGGGAGTCTGGTTTTGATACGGTTACATTGATCAGTGATGTGTGGAGAAAAAAAGATAAATTATACGATACATAAAACGAGAAAGTTGTTTTAAAACAAAAGGAAAGTTTTCAAAATCAATAGATTAGGATCAGATATAAATTCACAAACTGGTCTCTGTCTGGCACAACAATCTAATTAAGGTGTTAGAGCGAAATGCTACTCGATTCCAAATAGCTGCGAAAGTAAAGGACTGGCTTGATTTTACCTAACTAAATATGCCGTAAACTTTGATGTAAAGTGCATATATCCGCTTCCCAATTAAGTTTGATCCGCGATGGTAAACGGACCCGTGGAAATGGGAGAAATTGGATTATGTACACCGCAGATGCTTAGATTGCATTAGGCGAGAGCGCACTATGGCGATGCACGAAGCTTTTACCTCGATATTATTCGATATTCCCCTTGAAAGGTGGGCTTTTGAGTAACCAGTGCACGTTGAGACGGTAATTGTGTTACGGTTCATTGCAAGGATGTTCCATAATGTTTGCATCCATTGAAAGTAATATGGTTACAGCGCTTCCCGTCAATAAACAGGGCGTCCTTTGCGGGCTTAACTCGCCAGACTTTTCTTATATCGAACGTATACGGGGTGTTATAAAAGCTTCTGTACTGTATGTTTACGTGCGGGTGCCTGCGGCAATCTAGAGCTTGGCATTCACGCGCTGAAGATACTTCTCCCTTTTATTCCCAATATAACAGCGAACACTAAGGTCGTTGACCGTACGCAAGTTGTCTTGACTACCTCTTGCATAAATCGTATTTCGTTAATAATCATTCCTAAATGCCAAAATTGATATCAATGACAGCTAGCCATTACGAAATCCTTAATTCCTTACTTAGTTAATATTATAAACGCGAAAGTTTTATGTATGGATGTTTGTTTCTCATTCAAGCAAAACTACTGAATGAATTTTAATGATACTACAATAATATAGCTTAAACATCAGAATAACACATAGGTTATAATTCATAAAGATATTGTGTGAATTGTACTAAATATAACGACAAGTGTCGAGTAAGTATGAATAAAAATTTATCAAAAATATTCTGGTATATAATAAAAAACTCAAAATTAATTCCGCGGTGAACAACTAGTTTATAACATATTTAGCAAATTCAAGGCAGCCGACAAAGTTAATGTCTTTTAACCACTTTGGCAGCGTGCAATACTTTTGGGTCTCTCTTAGCGTAAGATGGCAAGCGTTCTGGCGCTCACTAGATACTTTGCCGTCTTTGTTGGCTCCGGTTACCTCACTAACCAGACGAAAAGCAGAGATATAGCATTTCCACTTCACACCGGTCTCCATTCGTGCAACAACGAAGACTGTTGCCCTACCGCATTTATGGCACGTACATAAAAGCATTTCAAAATTGGTAAAGGAAATAATACTGTAGCCGTGATGCTGAGAGAAACAACAGCACGATTCAACGCTTCCGGGAGATATCCGAAAGGTAAATACAAGCGAAGACCCGAGCTCTACAGAACAACGATGCACCAAACGACCGGAATTATCTCGAGAGGGGAAGGCGAAATATTAAGTCGCCGTTCGAGCGTCGAGGACTCTCTTTGCAAACAACGGACAATTGATCGGATGTTTCGGAATTTGTCGTGTAATTTGTTGAGCGATTTCCAATCTTCCGCTTAATGTTGATTACTCCAACTCGAGCTTTCAAGTTTAATGAATACAGTTGAAGTCTATGTCGGAGATGAAAGCATTCTCATACGCAATTTAATTATTTCTAACAGAAATTTTATTTTATTCATTACTTCCACGGTCACTTGCGTAGTCGGTAAGTTTATTAGGTTTTTACTTTTGGTCACACATAACAACTTGACTTATTGTGTAAGGTACTGACTATCTAACGTATTAATTTACAGTGCCGTTTTGCCAGGTCGTAAAAACCTTATTATAAACAGCTATAGATTATATTACGGATAATATATATTATGTCACTTTCAGCGTTCAGTTTTAGCAGATACAATGTACGAGCTTGTAGTAATAAAATCTAGCGTAAAATTGGCTAACATTATGACAGACTTTGTTTGTACATTGGTGAGCACTTTTTACTGTTGTAATTCCACGCACTACTCTTCTCTGCTGCACGGATGGGCAGGTACGTTCGGGAAAGTACCACTACCTCACAGAGGGCCGGCGTGAAGTGAAACTGTTATAATTCTGCGGGTATTGCAATTGTCAATAAGACGGCGGCGGTTATCGCCTAACATCAGGTGAACCGCTAGATCGTTTGCAAAGTATTCTCCCATTAAAAATGATTTGAGGATTGTCCCGTAAGTTAAGTCTCTGGTTGTTAATTCAACGGCTACTTTGTTTATTTTATTTGTACTACTTTGTGTGTTTTAGATTGTTAATTCAGTTATAACTATTATAATTGTAATTAAATAAATAAATGTAATTGTAATAAAAAATAAATGAATAAAACTGTTATAAACAATATTAATTACGTAATATTTAAATGATTAGATACCACTCCTTTAACACGTAGAGACGTCTTTCGCCATGTATGACATATGCGCTATATGACACATAGGATTTGCAAGTGGTCTTTTTGAGCCTATTTGCCGTGCTTGTGATTGTATTGAAAAATTATGAGCAATGCGTTTTAATTATGACTGAGTCGGTTGGCTTTTGAAGATCCCATAATAGGTGCCACTCAAGAGCGTAGCGAAGATAAATCTTAGTGTTATGAATGATTTATGATAGTGGTGCTTAAAATAATTTAAGCATAGGCAATGTACTCTTCACTGCAGCTAAATGTGGGAGAGTACAGAATAGAGCCGTGCGTTAATAAAAGAGTTTCGGAATTCCTCCAGAAATAAAAAAAAATTGATAAATTCATAAGATACGTAACCACCACACGGAATTTATTTCCGAACAAAATTACTCGACATAAATTTCATAACTAATAGTTAGCTACTGAAATAAAACCAAATCATACCACACACTAATTCTTATTGTATTTTATAAGAAAATGCGAATTTGTGGATAAATTGCTGCTACGTGGCCCTACGGTGGTAGGGCCACGCAGCAGCCTCGGCTGTTACACGAACGGGCAGGCCCGTCCGGGTAAGTACCACGACCTCACAGAAGACCAGCGTAAAGTGGAAGTATGACAAATACTTCCGCGTTTCGTTTGGTGAGTGAGGTAGCCGGAGCCCAATTTCCAAAAAGGTTGTCAACACATCTGTAACCCTCGGGTGTAGCACATGTCCATGGGCGGCGGTATTCACTTAACATCAGGTGACCCGTCTGCTAGTTTGGGACTTTTCGCATAAAAAAAATATGAACAAGAACTCTTCGGGGCTGCGTGATCCAAACCTGCGTTTTGTGGTTTAGCGTCCAGACGTTTTAACCAACAAAGCTAAGCAGCCAATGACCTCACGACGAGAAAATCTGGACATCTGTCTACGATCGTTCTATTACATACACACACACACATTTCAAATAATTTTTAAGTATTGAATATTTATAACTTCGACATCTCTCATTCGAATTATCGTTGTAAAACGATATTCGAAATTGTTTGTACGGTGGAGGACATAACAATGGATGCTCCAAGCTTTGCTTCAAACGCTAAAAAGACGTTAAGATTTTTGTCGGTGTGGCAAGTAATATAGCCGTATAGCTTAACGGCTAGCTAAAGCGTCAGGCAGCAAATGCTGAAGACGAGGGTTCGATTCCCACAGCGGCGACTATCTTTTAGAACAAAATTTAATGTTTAAATTAAAAAAAAAAAATATTAATTATTTATAATTTTTTTAATTTGTTCATTTAAATTACAATTTAATATATCATCTTGAGTGCAGAGACTTGCACTAAAATAAAATATAATTTTATAAAAATTATATTTTTTATATTAACCTGCCTTACTTAACATCCTGGATAATCAAGATGAATAAAATTAACTTTTGCCTCGATTGTCCTTGTCGTTTACTGGCTTATTAAACGCCACTCTTGAGCATCACCAAGCTGACACCGATAGCTTTTTAATATTCAAATAACTGAATTAAGAACAGATTATCCGTTCGGAAAGACTCGCGGAGGAATTATTAATGTCAGATTGGATTTAAAAACTTGTTAAATACTATTTGAAACAATTTCATAAAGCAAAATTAAAAAATAGTATTACGATTATTCGCGTGGGTAAATGTCTAAATGCGTATTTTATTAAAAAAAGCTAAAGTAAGGTATATAGGCCTATATTCTTCCCACAGCTGGGCAGATGCCTCTTCTGTTCAGAGGGCATTAGGGCAAAGTGTGCGGCAGCCAACGTGCGGCCCCATTGCGGATTGGCACACTTGAAATATCTTAGAAAAATTTCCTTTTTTTATATTATATCCAAGATTTGCAGGTTTTCTCACGATTTTTTTTTTTTTTTTTTTTTTTTTTTTTTATGGAGAAAAGGGGCAAACGAGCAGGAGGCTCACCTGATGGTAAGTGATTACCGCCGGCCATGAACACCTGCAACACCCGAGGGCTCACAAATGCGTTGCCGGCCTTTTAAGAAAGAGTACGCTCTCTTTTTGAAGGTTCCCAGGTATTTACGATATTTCCCTTCACCGCAGAGAACGTGCTAAATGAACACTTAAAATTTCAAATAAGTACTAAATTGGTGCCTGCACCGAGAATTTTAAATTTGCACGAGCATATCGAATTACAAGCGAGCGCCCGGACGCAGAGCTATCATGGCTTAATCAATTAAAATGAATACACATTTATTTCGTTACAGCAGTGACGCATTTTTGAACGGAGCAAGGATGAAAAATATTATCAAATTTTTCGGAAGACTTAGTGTCATTTCGCTGTACATTATTGTAACTATTATCAATAATATACAATGCATTGATTATCTTTAGGTGGTGCTTCATTAGCTTTTCAGAAGATAAAATATCGACGTGGACATTGCCCGTTTATATGTTCTACATAAATATATAGAAAAATGATAAAAATACTCAAACATACTTTTCTTTTATAAATAAACACATATTATACATATAAAAACACCCAGAATTTCATCCACACCACCTCGATGTCCAGCGTTCCACAACAGCGCGATTTTCAAGGCATTTCCTGCCTCGCACAACCACTCTGTGGAACCAGCTGCCGCCGGCGGTCTTTCCGAACCGTTACGACCTGGGAACCTTCAAGAAGAGAGCGTACTCATTCCTAAAAGGTCGGCAACGCATTTGTAAGCCCTCGGGTGTTGCAGATGTCCATGGGCGGCGGTGATCACTTACCATCAGGTGAGCCTCCTGCTCGTTTGCTGCTTTTTTCCCATAAAAAAAAAAAAAAAAAAAAAAAACCCAGAAACTAGAAAGACACTAAGTTCATCACACAATATTTTTCCAGTCGTAGGGATCGAACCCACACCCTCTGGCGCAGGAGGCAGGTACACTACCCACTACGCCATTCGCGTCGTCAAACATACATATATAAACATAAATGAACATATAAGAGAGCTGTAGAGCATAAAATCAAGCGTACTTATTTCGGACTTGATTCGGAAATAATTTATCCACAGTTGACAACCTACTGACAAACTAGATTAACGACGTATCACCATGTAACCGTTACTCTCGGAAGCTTTGAGAAAAGAGAGAATTGAACTAAATGATTTTTTAAACATTGTTTTTTTCGTAAAGTTATAACAGATCGCAGCGAAAAAAAATCACATTTAAAGTCACATTTTAAGTCGCTCTGTGGTAGGGCCACACAACAGTCTTCGCTGTTGCAAGAATGGGCAGGTGCGTCCGGGTAACTACCACGACCTCACAGAAGACCGGCATCAAGTTGCGTTGAACGTGTAACACTTCTGCATTTCATCTGGTAAGTGAGGTAACCGGGGCCCACTTTATTAAAAGGGGGCGACGCCTCTGCAATCCTACTGGTATTGCATACATGGGCGGCGGTTATCACTTGACATCAAATTAACCAGCAGCTCGTTTGCCACCTTCTCACAAAAAAAAAGTAATACCAGGCAAGTATACACTTTTATATTTATTTTGTAAATATATAACTTATTGCAGCGATAATTAAAAATCACATTTTCACTTTATTCATTTCGCATATTCCGCAAAATAGTAATTAATTAATAATTACTATTTTGCGGATTGTGCTGTCAAAATTAATTATAGCTTTATTAATGTGTGTAGTAAGTTCATGAAATGTTTATCTGGTATCGTAAAATTACAACAACAATATTCCAACAGAGTGGAACTAACATCCAAAACTATATTCAAACTAGTACAGTCTCGTACACTGAACACGTCACTATACTGCAATAATAC